ATAATATAGTATGTCAACTATAATTATATATACATATAGTCTTGGGACATGGAGTAGTGAGCGGGAACGGATTCAATGGAATTGTAATAGATAAGCATGATATCGGGGGTGGGAGGAAAATATATGGGGGAGGGGCGTTGTTACTTTGTGAGGGTGAAAAGGGTAACTATTGCATTGTTCTGTACACCTGAAACTAACAATTAAAAAAATAATGAAAAAAAAAAGTTACTGGAGTATAACATACAAAAGTGCACAAATTCTAAGTATTTAGCTCATTGAAGCAGCACCCAGAACAAGAAACAGTTTATTATGGAACCCCACACCCACCCACCGGTGTTCCTCTTTAGCCATGATCCTCCAAGGGTAACCACTGCTAGACGTATAGGACCTTAGATTATTTTGTCAACTTTTGTACTTGATGTAAATGGAATCATATAGTGCTTATTGTTTGTGAGATTCATTCATATCATGGGATATAATTGAGGGCTATCTTTCCATTACTGATAAAATTCCATTGTAAGACTACACCACAATTTATCTATCCATTCCACTGTTGAAAAACATTTGGATAGTTTCCAGTTTGGGGCTACTACAAATAGTAAGGCTAAGCACATTCTCATACCTGTCTTTTGGCAAGCATATGTAGGGATTTCTGTTAAGCATACGCCTAGGTAGGAAGTTGTTGGTTTGTAGGAAATGCACGTATTCAGCTTGAGAAAACTGCAAACCTCTTTCATAAAGTGGTTTTATCTGTTGACCTTCCCACCAGCAATGTGAGACAATATAATACTTGTACTGTCTGTCTTGGACTGCTGAGGAGGATGCGCTGATATTTCATTGTAGTTTTAATTCATCTTTTTTTTTCTGATGGTCAATGTAGGCACTTTTTCATATGTTTATAGTTACCGGCCATTTGGAAATCCTCTTTTGTGAAATTTCAGTTGAAGTCTTTTGCCCATTTTTCAATGAGTTATCTGTCTTTTAATTATTAATTTGTAGGAGGGATCTAAACACTTTGTTTAAAGACTGTCTTCAAAATTTTAGTGCAAGCACACGTATTTAATCTGCTGAGCACTAGGGAAAAGAGATCGTTTTTGGAATTCACATAATCTTAAAGCAAATCTGTTGTGTGAACAAAAACAGAAGGATTTACTTAGACTTTAGAGCGTATTTTCATTCTGATATGGCATTTAAAAAAATAATGCTTTCTATAAATTTCCTAATGTGTCATAGTGCATGAGACAAAGTGGAAATATATAGAGGTTTATACTGACATTTATTTAGACATATTTAAAAATAATCAAATTGTGTGAAAGCTCCAGTCTGGCAGTCTGGAAATAAAATGACAAGGAAACAATTTAAAATTCTCTAAAGAAGAAATGAAGAAAAAAAGTATTCTGAAAATGTTCAAGTTTCAATATGCATCTCTATTTAGATGGTGATGATATATCCAGGGATATATAGCAGATGTGCTGGCCTGTTTCCAAGCCCTGCTTGGAGGTTTTGAATCAAGGAAGAGCGTTACATTATGTGTGAAATGCCACTTCAGTTCAGAGTCAGCCAGCAAATTGGTAATACCAACTTCATAGTCTTTTCAGGCTGATTAGCAGGAAAAGCATTGCCAGGTGCAAATATCCACAAATTTAAATCATTTTTAAGAAAAAAATGGGCAGAATACATCATATGATCCATCTCTGGGCTCTTAGATACTGTGGCTGGATGATTTTATATTTCTAAAATTAGGTGAGTTTAAGGGTCATAATATACCTCTTTCTCAAGGAAAATAAGAATTCTATGCCAATTTGGTTTTCTTCATGACACTACATTACATTTTGTGGGTAAAAAAGAATTGAAGTTGAGAGTTAAGAGGAGTGAAATCTCACCAATCCATTTGGGCATTCTTCCAAAATATCTGTACAAATAGTGCAACTTTCCTCAATTTTGGATTGGACAAACTACTGTCGAAGTTTCTGTCTATTAGTTTCTTAGCTGTGAAAGGAGCATCACCCTTGAATATTAAGCACCATGTATGTGTGAGATTGTCTTATGAAGTTTTGAAACATTTAGAAAAGTATATTCTGTAGAGATAAGACCAAAGAGAGCTCCATGAGTGTGTGCTCAATCTTTGTGCATCTGGCTTTACTCTCGGTGTCTTTTTCTTTCTTGTGCAGCAGGGTAGTTTTTACTGGTTGGTGGGAAGGTCAATAAAAGAACGATATTTTAACTTGATAATGAAAGGCAAATAGGAGGACATATAAACAAGTAATGAAGGAACAAAGGTTTCCTTTCTGTCAAGAATTTCCTGATGAAATCATAGATTTCACTCAGGTAATCAATACCTTATTAAGGTCATTTCTTTGAAATCTTACCTGAGTTCACACAGAAAACTTTTAAAACACACACCAAAGCACAAAACTCGGGCCACCAACAATTCCATAGGGTAAAAAATTTGGGGTGACTCTTAAGGAAATGGTGGTTGACTTGACTGGAAGAACAGCTGCTCTTTATGGATTTCATCAACTCATGACTTCATCAGCAAGTGTTGCCTTTCTTTCTTCTATGGACTTTTGACCTATGATGATCATCAATTTAAGATCAAGGCACATGACCCAGCATCATTGTTCTGGGATTTATTACAGAAAGAAAATAAATCAAGAAATGAGGAGTGAGGTCCAAATTAACAAAAAGCATCATATAGAAAGATCAGTAGGGCATTTATGCGATTGAACTCGGCTAAAATGATTTATAGGTAATATGTGTAGATCTATTGTTGTATATTTTAGGCTTTATGTGTTGAAACTGAAGTACTATCACTTTTAAGTTTTATAAGCAAAGAAGCACAATATCATAGTATTATATGTAGTTTTTCTGTGAGCACTCAATAAACAAATATTTTTCCTGACATATTTTTTTCCTAACATTTTATAAGGGAATGCTTTACATCATGAGATTGGTATTCATGAGTGGCTTGTGGAAATAATATCATTATTTCTAATCATGCCTCATGCTTTTCTCAGGCATAAATTTCAATCTATGCATATAATGGCTATAAAAATGAGATGGATCAAAAAGACCATTACTGACTATACTTGAAAATGAACTCTTCATATAGGAAAAAAAAAAGTGAAAAAGAGGAAATGCAAAATTGTGAGGGAATAGTTTACTTGAAACTTACCATTTTAATCGTGCCTTCTGTCTGCAGTGCTCACAAGATCTATTCAGACAATTTTTAATTAGGTTTTAGGTACTTCATAAAGTAAGCTTTAAGGTAACCACAGAATTAGAGAAGCTAGATTTGATCATAATTCTGAAAAAATACTGACTTCAGATCTTCTTTGTGCTTAGAGGTTACAGACAATATTGTCTATGAAGCAGAGGTACCATACCAGAGTTATCCTGTTTAAAAATGAATGGATTGGGGGAGGAAGATTGTCAGTTTGTGAAGGGTGAAAAAGTATAACTAGTGCACTATTTTGTACACCTGAAA